GGTCTACGAACATTTTCTCGGGTGTTACTGCGGATTGGAATGTTGCACGATCTTTATATTCAATAGCGGACATTCAAACATGTATTGATAAAGTGAGACCCGTAAGATTTGGAGAGCATTTGGTAGGTTTTATTTATATTTTTTTTTAATATATTATTATTCGTACTAAGGTAATCTCCGACATACTTGGTAAAACTTATTCGAACTTGAAGTTACTGCGTATAGTTCAGGTTATTGTCTTGGTGCCGCTAATTGGTTGATCGATTGTGGTGGAGAAAAGGTAGTTTTACTGTTTATAACATTATAATTCTTAAAGTCAAAAAAAAAAAAAATAATTTAAAAATTAAAATAAAATAAATAAAATATCTCTCGATGTAGATAATAACATCATCTTCTACGATACCGATACATCCTTTGCCATTAGATGAAGCAGCATTTAATGATGTTGACATTGTTATCCTTAGCGACTTGCGTGATGGGGATAGCTCTATATTTGAAAACATTCTTATGGAAATTGGTCAACACTAATTTGTTACATTTGATCAGCAAATACTTTAAAAAACAAAGGAAATGTTTTATTTCCTTGTACAATGAATGGAATTATTTTTGATATAATGGATTTTTTGGATCAACACTTGAAAGCTATGGGATTACGTGGTATTCCGTTCTATGCAGTATCGCCCATAGCGGAAGAATCACTAAAATATTCTAATATATGTGGGGAATGGTAAGTAATATTTATTTATTTAATCATGGTATATTTGATCACCTTGATGCTAATAACCATGTTTATTTTATGTAATAAGGATGTGTACAGAGAGACAGCAAAAAATGTATCTACCGGATAATCCGATGCCCCATCAAGACATGATCGAACAGATGACATTATATTATGCATCTAGGGCTGATAGTACACTTCAAGAAAAATATCAGGAGCCATGTGTGGTCTTTGCTGGGCATCCTTCTTTACGTAGTGGTGCTGCGATAAATTTTATTAGAAAATGGGGGAATAATGCGAATAATTCAATAATATTTATAGGTTTGTGTAGCAAATGATTACATTTTAATTATCGTTTACATTGTTCGTAAAACTAATTAAAGAAATTTAAAAGAATCGGAGTATGATTATATAGAAGCTATGTCTGCCTTTGAAGGGTTACAAATAAAGCCTACATATCTTCCAATCGACATTAGATTAACTGTCAGTGAGGTAATAAATATGCTGAGAGAAAAGAAACCTCAACACGTTTTATTTCCTCATAAGATCATTGGAGATGCGGATAATATAAAACAGAACTTATCAAACTCATTAATTACTTTGTATGAGAGTTTAGACATTGTTAATATTTCAATTAACTCACAATTCGTTAGAACAGTTATGACAGAGGATGTGAGTTGTTATTTATTATTGTTCCTTTTTTTGTACATTTAATATTCTAACATAGAAATCAATAATTTCCTTTGTGTAGCTTGCCTCAGTTATTGAACCAGTCAATTTTGGAAATGATTCGTTAATAGCGTCCTTAGGTGGAACTTTAAGCATATACAATACAAAAACGTCATTGACAAAGGCGACAAATTCATTAAATCGACAAAAATATATTTTTGGAGAATTTAATGTTGTAAAATTAATTAATGAATTAACTGAACAAATAGTAAGTTTAGTACAAAATATTAACCGTTAAGTGATTATTGAAATTAACTAAAAGAGGGATACTGATACTTTTTTTTTTTTTTTTTTACATAATTTTAGTATGGAAGTAGGATTGATTTCTTTCATGAAGATAAAAGAAATTCAAGTTATACAATTAGTTTAGTATCACCAAAGGCGACAATTTATTTGAACAAGGAAGATTTTAAAATTGTTACAATTGATAATCAAACTAGGATTAAATTAACGGAGATTTTGCTTGAGCAACTAGTTGTGATATGAAAGGTTAACATATTTGTTTCTTTGTTGTAAGAAAATAAGTTGATTCATAAATATAGTGTTTTTGGCAAATTTGAAAGTTATTAAAGATAACCATTTATGGTTGATAACCCCCGTATCACATTCAATTAAGGAAAGTCTTTTGGATTGTTCGGAGTCGATACCTATCACCTAAAACTTTTGCTTTGAATCTTTATCGAGTCTTTCATTTGAAAGGTCCGTTTTTTAAAAAGATGCTTTCATTTTCATTTACACACAATGGAATGAGAAAACCTTTCTTTATTCAAATAATAATTTAATGTAATTATATAAAATAAAAATTTTTCCTTACAATCTACAAGCTGCAGAATGATTTGATAGTATATATCAAAAAGAATTTTTTATCATTATAAACCATCACGTACTACTATTATTCTATATTTAGGGTTATATAAATGTAATATTTTAACGAAGATAAATTATGATTTGCAATGATGGCATAATTTTCATTTCGGAGATTTTCAAATAAAAATTATCCCGATTGAACTTTAAATAAGCGCCAAAATTTTTGTCTTACTATTCTAAAAATATATTTTTGAGAAAAAATTTCAGCATCTAACAACTTTTTTTAGCACAAACGAATTGTTAGAAGGATTTCGGTTTAGTTTAGGAAACTTTAGATGGTTGTTTTACGCATAATCAACACGCATCTTTGCTATTTGAATTAATAATACAATAGCAGTGTTAATATTTAGCAATGATAGCATTTGTAATAAAGTTGTAATTGATAGTAACTTCATAGTTCACGCATTGATGCCACTTCATGGCAAAATCTAACGAATCAATGCATCTGCTGCAAAGTTATTGGTGAAGTTACGTTATAATTATCCGGTTCAGATAATTAAACTTTTGTTGTTGCAAATTACTTAACGGCCAAAGTATAATCCGTGTAATTATTTATAATGCCTTTATTTAAAGTGTTCTGGGCTTGAAGCATAACTAGCTCTATCTTTGACCATAAGTAGGAAGTGTCTGCTCAAGAACTAAAAAATTGTTTTAACATTTCGGTTCGATTAGGAATTTGAATTTCAATAAATTTAACAAAATGTCGACTGACTAATATTTCAAATTTAATGTAATAATAAATTTTCAAAAGAATAATTCAGAGACATTTCTGATAATATCAAATTATTGGACTTTTTAAGCAGTTTTGAACAAAGAATGTCGCAAAAAAAAAAATAAATTTGCTACCTTACTTTATACAGTAAAGTAAATCTTGCTTTTTTTCCCGGCAGTTTCCATAAATCGATCAATTTATAATTGGAATCCGAATAAATAAATTTGACCTTTATTTTGATTTCAAAAAATAAAACTTGATGATTTCACAAGTTGCTAACTTAATAATTTATTATGTTGTACGATGCATTTCTATTGAAGTCCCATATGAAATTTATACTAACTAGTTTATAATTTAAAAAAGCTCATATCATAACGAATGAGCATAAGGATCTTCTTATTTAGAAACAATGTGACACCTTTTAGAGCTCAGATTTTTCACAACTTTTGAAAAGTTCGAGATCAAAAAGAACGTATCAAAAAGGAATTCGAAAGAATACCTTATTACGAACAACGAACAAGTTGATTTAAATTGATTCCAAATGTCAGAACTTTTCTTTCGTACTTTATTGAGAATTATATAAAAGATATTATTAATTTGAAATTTATTCTTGTTATAATATTTTACATCGTTATGTTGTTGACAATAATTCCATTTTTCTTGGAAGCTATTAAATTAAGATGAAACGATAAGAAGTATTAAATTCATTGAGATAGGGAGAGTAAAAAATTTGAATACTAAGAAATGATACGACTTTATTAATTACAAAATTATCGCGTAAAAGAATTTCATATACTTTTCCATGTAAACTTACAAAAAAATTTTTTCATTAATTACGATAATTTATTTTAGATCTTTGTAACATACCCTTATGTCTTTTTATTTATTAGAACACGTGTCAATTATATATCATTGTCCAACGTGATTTATTGAAATCGAGAAGAGAAAATCAATGAAAAAAATTGCGGCAATATCCGAAATTATTATTACAATGATTAACAAGATAGGAAAAAAAAAAATACCTTTGTATAAAAAAAAAAAAAAATTTCGATAATACTCAATAAAAAAATATGAATGAACTAATAAAATATGGGGAAAATTATTTTTTCAGTAGACCTCTTCTCATATGGGAGGTTTGCTATTAAAATCCAGTTACGAACGTAGTAAATCATATGGATTTTAAAAGCAAACCTCTCATATATGTAAATAACGTTTTAAATCATCGGACTATTATATGGCAACCTTAAACTAAAAAATGGTCCGAGCGATGGTACATGACGATAATGAATGATTTCTAAATTTGTTAATTCACCTTTCAAATATGCACATGGATCATCTAATTCCGAAAATCATTAATAAATAAATGATTGATAAAATTAAATCTTATCTTTAAAGTTCTAAATAGAAAGTAAAGTTTGCGAGTCACGACATAGGTAAAATCATTTAAGATTTTGATAGCAAACTGCACATTGAATCTCTTTGTTCGCATTACTAAAAATTGCCGCATCACTTCGATTATCATCAGTGGGATGGATAATCTAAGTTAAGTCTTCTGTACCGAAACAACAAATAGAAAATATATTGATTTCTTGGACATTACCGGGGGAGATTATTAATTAGTCCTTTAGCGATAACCTATTACGTGCGAAGAATTGAAAAGTAGAGAACAATGAACAAAATGTTTAATTAAGCAATAGTTAGCTAATATGTTATTAAAAAATATAGCTAGTTATTTAAATATTTACAAAATTATCTAATTCTTTGACCGTGCAATATTTCTGTCCTCCTTCGGTACGTACGAAATTTGCACATTGTTTGTTTATATAATATATCGTGAATGTGAAATTCTAATTATCCTTAACCAATTGATCGTCCCAAATAAAAACTTTAGATTATCTAATAATCTTCAGTTAGATAAAATACTTTATTTTTATTAAATTTCCAACAACTGGTTAAAATTTTTTATTATTATTACAAGGATAAATATTTGTGAAAATTTTTTTTGATTAAATCTCTTTTTCAAAAATACATTATATCGAAAAAAATTATGATATTTCGTTCTGGAGATTTTACATAATATCCCGTACTTCATATTTTCAAGTCAATTTCAAACATAAAAAAAATAAAATAAAATAAATATTTAACAAAAACGTTTGAGGATTTACCTTTTGACAATTTATATTCACAATTTGACTTAAAATATTAGATTTTAAATTAACCATCATCCTCCATTTATTATAATAATAAAATAATTTATAATAACGAACAGCAAATGATAATTTCAGAATTATGACGGGATAATGTTTGTTCGTTCAGGCACTTTTAAAAATTTTTTTAAAATTTTATAATGTAAATTTAATAATTCCATTTGAAACTTTTTATTTTTGCTTTACTTATATATTAGCATTAAGAAAATGTTCCAGATTATAAACTTTGGCTGCTTGGTCTTAATTTAAATAATTACATGCATGAATTTGGCTATTAAAAACCACATTCTTATGCACATTACATATTTTAAAATTAACCAAGTTTATCCTAATAAAAAATGTTAACGATAATTATTTTGTATACTTAATAAGTATGATAAAAATCAAATTTGTATTCTAATTATAAAGTTTAGTGAATGCGTGCGAGGTTTGTTATACAGGTCGTACAAAATTTTTGTATTAAGGAGAGATTCATGCACGTTTTAAGTGGAAAATGCACTCTAGAAATACGAAATGATTTAGTATCTATAATTGTTCATACTATTGAATATAAATCATAAATTCATTATTATTATGCAAATGATAAATAAGTAATATTCGAAAGAAGAACAAACAAAAGATTGTATTTTGTCATTCGTTAAATATCACTCTTTATTTAGGATAGTTAAGTGAAAGAATTTTGAAATTCTACAGATGTTGGGGAAAATAATTCACTCATTTATAGTATATTTTTTTGGTAATCAAAACTCATTCTCCGATTTTAAGAAAATATCTATTAAATTATACATTAAAAAAAATTTTAGGTCCGAAATCTAAGTTTTTTTTTTGCTTTGTCCTGAAACAAAACAATCAAAATCTTCCTATTAAAAATTCATTTTGGGGTGTTTTATTTTTATTATTCTATTGAGGAAATGTTTACCTGTCCCGTGAATTTTTTTTTTCTTTTTTTTTTTTTACGCGAATCATAAATGGCTCCGATGATATGCTTTCTTTCTATGACATGCCTTTCTTTATATCATCAATGACGGAATTCCCGGAGGCGTTTGATACAATCTTATTCTACAATAAAATTCTTTTTTATAAAGTTAAGTATAAAAAAAAGATGATTTATTAAATATCTAATCTCTACAAATAAAAAAAAAAAAAATAAAATAAAAAGAATTATCTTGTAATTAATAATCTATTCTTTTAATTTTTTTTTATACGTTCCCCTGCCTTACTTTATTAAAATACTAAAATAAAATATTCATTAAAAGTAAAATAAAAAAATTCTTAAAGGTTTGCTAATTTCACGTGAATTGATGGTTTTGGACTAAAAGATTAATTTTTGGTTATTGCTACACTTTTGTTGGCTGATTTTTAGTTCTATTACTTATGACGTATCCTCACATTAATCGGTTAAATCACAAATAAATGTTTCCGTTCTTTCATATGAACCATAATTTAACTGGAAATTTGATCTGTAAAACCATAGTAGGATGGTGCAAATATTAGTACAGTAGTACATTATAATAATTAATATAAATATAGTACTACTATTTAACCTAGTACATACAAATTTCCAAAACCATTTCCATAGTTTTTGATAAGTGATCAATTTAATAATTTTTTAAATATAATTATTTTTTTACAATTCATTAGAAAGTTACATGTTGTGATCAATACCTGGTGCCCCCCCAAAAAATTTCAATCACCTATAGAATTCATAAAACAAAAAAAGATGAATATTTGCTAATAACTTGTTCTACAATTCGTTTTACACAACTTTTGATCTTAAAGATATATGCTTCGATAATTCTAAATAATTATATTTTAAAATTACGATAAGTTTATTAAATAAGTCCACCAGGATTAGTTAAATTTTTTGATGTTTTCGATTGAACAATACCTTGATAATACTATTTCCGGATTTCCGGATTCAATATAATGGAGTATTCAAAGCAGCACTATACGGTAACTTTTTTGATTCTAATTTTTAAATTTCTACAGTACAGTTTAGATAATTCTTATCAGAACAATATGTAAAATTGGAATTCAGTTAGATTGTTTAAAGTTCAACGTAAATGATGAGCAAATTATTAATTGAGATAATTGAATAATATCTAAAAGCAAATTATAATAATTCACAATTCACCTTTGCTGTTCTATAAATGATGTTAATTTCTTACAATTCTTTGAATGCCTTCCGACAAATAACGACATAACAAGGAGCGTTGAATTTATATCATTACGACATTAAACGAATTGACATTCGATAATTTAAATTTTTTTTTTTTTCTTTCTTTTTTGATAAAATCGTTTTCCAAATTTGTGAAAATGAATGACCAATTAAATTTGTTAAACAATGACAAATTTGACGCATCAAATAATATTGTTCAATGATTTCGTGTAACAAAATTTTTCATCGATATAAAAAAAAAAATTTGTGTGAAAGCTTTTGGATAATTATTAATGTTAACGTAAATTTTAATTGAAATTTTTTTAAATTTATATACTGGAACTGAAATTAGCCGATGAGTTTTGGCCGGAATTAAACTTGAAATTTGCATTTCATGCATTCCCAAGCATTTTGAGAGCACAACATTGCTTCTAACACATTTATTCATATTTCAAAAAAAAAAAATTTTCAATTCGAAATTTAGTATGAATTGATTTAAATAAAAAATCAACTATAATAATTGCGTTTTATTATCATAAAACATAATTGGTCACGATCAAGACTAATTTTTTGGCCGTTGACCGCCAAATGTCAAGGGATAAATATTAAAAGTCCCAAGGTCGAAGACGTCATTTTTTTGCAAAAATGCAATGTTTTAACCATCAATTGATGCTAGATATCCAAATACACTCACTATAAATCAATATGTCAAACCATGGTAAATTTATCAAACTGTATTTTAACTGTCTATGATGGTTTATCACGAAATCCTGACAGCAATTTTTCCCCGACGCTCAAAATCATAAACTTATACAGAACTTTACATGACCAGAATCTCAACGGTCAAGCAAAAACCAAAAACTAACAATTTAACAAATTTTTGATAAAATCTAAATAAACTATACTGTGATAGAATCACATAAATCTTAAAACCATCAGGTTTTTTGACCATTGGTGATCTTGAGCGTTGATTTGTTTGGTCGTGGGCGTCGAGATTATAATGAAAGATCATAGGTAGCAATTAGGTTCAGCCCTGTTAACTCCCCAACGATTAGTTAACTAGAGTAAAGTAACTCAATTATAGTTACACGGAAATTTTTAATATGGAAATGATCTGCTTGCGACATGCTCGGCGCTTGTTACGCGCATTTGGGGGCATTCTAATTTGTGGATATCCCAAATGCATTTCGGACATCAACGCGTTTGGATGATTTAATTTAAATAAACCTTAACAACAGGGCATAAAATAGTACTGTAAAAAACGGAGATCTCTGGTTTTTTTTGAAAATATCCGGTAAATTTTTTCAGAACCGGATAATTTTCCGGATATATTAAAATGAAATTTTTACCAATTTTGCAAATTGATTATCAATTTTTATCGTCCATCAAAAAAAAAAAAATTTTTTCAATAATTTTTTAAAAATGTCAATTTTACAATATTATTCTAAAACTTCTAATGAAAGGTATTGCTCTATAAATGTGATATTGATTTATTAAAATATAATAAAATTAACAATTTTATAATAAATATTTAGTTTAGAAAGCAGTTCGGATGAAGATAATTTTAATGATAACATTGCCGAACCTGCTGAACCTATAAATAAAACCAAACCTTTAATTCAAAAACCTATAGTACGGCATTATCAACCTTCTAAAAAACTAAAATTTAATCGTAAAACTGGAGTTTTTCAGCAAGAATAGCTAAGAATTTATCCATGGTTGGTATTTATTATTATATAATAATAAATTATAAGTATACAAGCATATACAATTTAAATAAAATGTATATTCTATATTCTATCAATATATATATTACTTCAATAGCATTTATTAATAATTTTGTTTAACGTATTCACATATTACTCTTAAAGTAAAATTACTAATACCATATTATTATTCTCTATTGCCTAAAAAGCAGTTTTTTTTCTTCAACCTTCCTTTCTTGTTACTTTTAACTGTTCTTAATGCATTAAAGCCTTTTGAAAGTAAACTGCTTAAAACAAAGATAATTAAATGATCATATTCTAAAAATTGCAACAAATGAAAAACCTGCTGTAAACTACCTACTTCTGATATTTATTTTAGCCTTAGGTATAATCAGTTCTTAATTTTTATAAACCATAATAGTTCACAAGAGATAAACGAGAAATTGCAAATATAAATATTATATTTCATTTTTATCTTCTCAAATTTGCTTAATAGAAATAATAAGCATTACTTTAACATCTTTGATATTAGAAATGATAAGCCCTTTATATTTATCAAAGTTAATTAATACTACTATGAGAAGAGAAGGTAAACTTTATCCTTTAAATATGATATCTTATATAATTTTTATGACCTATTAATTAAGTTAGCTTATATTTATATATTTACTTTAGCATAATGTAAGTTCTTTTACTAATAATAATTGTGAATTAAATCCTTTTATTACATCTAAACTTACTTTTTTAGCCTTCTAATCTCTAGTATATACTGCAAGGATCTTAACTATTAGTTTATTCAATACTTTAAGCTTATTTATATTAATTATATTAACATTTTTCTACTTTATTAATAAATATACTACTTCTAAAAATTTCTTTTATTCATTTGTACTTAAGTTATTTTCAAACTGTATAATAAATATGAACTAATTGTTTAAAGTATATTTTCATCTTATATTCATAAAAGAATATTTTTTTTGAATATTTATTATTGTTTAGAATTTCCTAATATCTTTAAGTTTAGAAAAGTATTTGTATAATGTAATACTATTATTAGAAGATGTATTTTATAAAATATTATTAATATATATCGGAAAGTTAAATATAAGTAGTAGCTACTCAAAATCTTTGAAAAATTATAAATCTATCATAAAATAGTAATTCATTTTATTCTTAAGAAATGCTTAATATAACCATATATTAATTATAATAAGCATTCCTTTTTTAACTATGCTTTTCTCATTGATTATTTATTTAATCTTTCTTATAATTCCTTTAGGTATTTTTCATTAATATCGAACTGTTTTTATCATTAATTATCAGGATAGAAAACATTAAGTATATTATCATATCATTAATATTGAATACTACTATTATTATAGTATAACTACTGGATTTCTGAATTCATCTTAAGCCATTATTCAAATTTCCTTCAAATTATTTTAATAAAATATGATTTACTTATATCTACTGTTCTATTATAATTATCCTTAATACGTTAACCTATTTGTCTGTAAGTATATTACTGTAATGCGATTCTATTTATTTAAATACTAATTTTTAACTTTATTTAGTATTTGATAATTTACGAAATTATTACTTTCACTTTATTTACGTAATTTTAATATTTGTCTAAATTTTATTGTATAAAGTTGTAAACTTCTGTTAGATTATTAATAAAATAGTACTAATATTTCATTGATATAGTCATAATTCTGATTAACTTTTAAGTATTTAGGTTGATCAAAGAATCTATATTCTTATAGTCCTTAGCAAAAAAAATGATGAAAAGTTTTTTTTAAATTATATAATATGAGACACTTATACTTATCAAAAATATTATATAATTTTTATATATATATAATTTTCTAATTTGTATTACATTAAAAAATTAAACCAATTTTTATATTGTTTAAGTTGTTTTCTTAGTTTAACATTTTTGATTAGCTTAATTATTTAAAAGTTATTGGAGTTTAAAAATAAGGTATATTATTATAAATTAAGCAAATTCAAACTAATTTACAGGAGTATTTACAAAGGTAATTTTATAAATTAACCAATAATATACAAAATCATTTTCACGTGACAACAATTTATTATCAAAAATTTTGTTTAAAAATTTTTTTAAAAAAAAAAAATGCTGCTTTTATCCAAACAGAAAAAAAAAATCAAAAAACAGTTATGTATGATAAATGGCCAATATGAAGTTAAAGAAAAGCCCAAAAATAATTATAAATTAATGCTAGTTAAAAATAATTATACAAAAAAAATCACAAAAAAATAATTATAATAAGTATAATAAAATTGCTGATGTGTTTAATCCACTTTACAATAATCTTGATTTTAATAATATTTTAGAATTAGATGATAGTGATAATGATACATTAGTTAATAATTTTTTTAATGAAATTAAAGATTAGAGTAATGATAATGATAGTAAATAGAATGATTTAGAAGATGTAAAAGCTAAAATAAAAGAATTTAATTTAGTATGAAAAGATAATAATCAATTAGAAAAAATAAAGCGAGAATCATACAATTTAGGTAAAATATCAAAATTAACCTATTATAATAAATATAGTCTATATAGTTTATTAACTAAAGCAGCAGCTGGTACAAAATAAATTATAAATTTCTTTAAAAAAAATGATACTCAGGATATCGATTAAAATATAATAGAAAATGTTTCAGATGACTCAAAAAGTGATATCATTAATCTATACACTTATCAATTGACTGAAAAAATAAAAAATTTGAAAGAATAATTAGAAAAATAATATAATCAATTAACAGTTATAGAATACAATTATAAAAGAGCAATATTTGAATATCTTATCTTGTTAAATAGTAATAACAGATGTAAAAAAATTGATATTAGTTTAGAAGTTGCTTAAAAAAACTTTATTAATGGTAGTATATGGAAAGCATGAAAAATTCAAAACCTTACAAGATACTGATTAATAAATAATAATCTTTTAAAATCTAAATGCAAAAAATACTAAAATACAGTTAAAGTGATTGATGATGAAGATGTTGCAGAAAGATGTCATATATAGATCTAAAAATAAAACTTTAATATAACACCAGCTGCTTTTAAAAATTTTGTTGAAGAAGAATTATTTTTTACTATTAGAATTAGTAAAAGAAAGACTATTACTATAAAGACTGCAACAAAATGAAAGTAATTTTAAAAATAATATGCAAGTATATATATTAATATTAATAATATTAATAATTATATCTATTATAATATAAAAGGCTCAGAAGTTTTTGATTATTTATTCTGACAATATCATCATGAAATATATTATGACAAATATGAAAGAAAAGATGTGCTGTAATATAAAAGGAATTCCTAGAAAAAATATATGATCATAAGAAATATATATTCAAATATAAAAGTGAATCTATAAATTGAATATACTCTAACTTATCTAAAGAACAAAAAAAAAGAGTTTTAGTAGTTCATGATGAATGCATTTTCTATTCAAATAATAAAAAACATGAATTGTGAACTAAAGATAGTGAGATACTACTTTGAAAAAAAAGGAATAGAAGATTTATTATAGTCAGTGAATTTTTAACTAAGATTAATAAATACCTATATTTACAGCAATCTGATATAGAAAAGTATACTTACATATCTGAAGAAGTATGAAGTTACTTAAAACCTAATATAAATCAAAAGGGTTATTAGACAGCAGAGCATCTTCTTGAATAAATATATAAGGTAACTCCTATTTTTAAGGCTCTATGTTTAGACTGTATAGCTATATTCGTGTTTAATAACAGTTTTAATCATGCTGCTTTTAGTAAAAATGCTTTAGTTATAAATCAAATGAACTTGAATTTAAGAAAAAAGTAACTATTTATGCAAAATACCTGTTTTGGGCCAAACAATCAATCATAATCAATGATATTTCTAATAATATATCATAATAAAAAAAACTCTGTGATAAGCCTAAAAGAATTAAATAAGTATTAATAGAATATGAAAAATAGCCACCTGAAAAATTAATTTTAAAATTTTAAAATGCAATAAATATAAAAAAAGTTTAAGATATTTTAAGAACTTCCTGTTGTGTATATTAAGTAATATCCCTAGAGTTTAATTTTCTTGCTCAAAAAGGCGCTATTGAAGAATTAATTGAAAATGCTAAACATCAATGCATTTTTTTCTCTAAGTTTTATTATGAATTAAACTTTATTGATAGGTATTAGAATGCTATCAAAAGATATTCTTATGAAAAATGTGACTATTCATGAAAGAGATTGAAAACAATAATTCTAAAAGTTTTAATTCAATAAACTTAATAACCATTAGAAAATTTTCAAGAAAATGCTAGCGTTATATAGATCTTTATAGGAAAGGTGTTAGTGAAAAATTAGTAGATACGCTGTAAAAAATACAAATCCTATAGAAGAATTCTGAAGAATATTTTGAAGGAGTTAAATAAGTTATAAATGAATAAATTTTGGTTTTTATGTTTTAAAATTTATTTTGTATACAAGTACTATTATCTAATAAAATCTGTTACATATAATATGTTACGTAAAATAATCATTTTTAAAATTTTAGACTATTAATAAATATAGGTAACCCGCACTATATGTTTAATAAATAACTTTCAAAAATATTTTATTCTCAAATACTTTTAATTAAAGAATTATATACTCAAAATATTAAATATAAAAAGTATTCTCCTTTTCTATCAATCTGAATTTAAATATAAGTTAAAATACTAAAAAATTGAAAAATTAGCCCTTTTTTATATTAATGCTTTCTATTTTCTACCTTTTTATTAAAATATATTATTTCTATTGTAAAATTTTTAGTTGAATATTTTTATTAATATAGTAAAATTTTAATTTTAATAATCAAACACTTAAATTTAACCTTATATTACAATTACAAAAATTTTATTCACATTAAAATATGCATTATAAATTTCAAATAATATATGTATTTAAACTAGTAAAATATATATAATACTA